GAGAGCGAAGCGGATCTCAGTTGGGGGAGGAGGACGAGGCACGAGGAGGGAGAAGGACAAGACGGGAACGACGAGTTCCTCACTCAAAGCAACGCACGTGCGCAACGCGTGTCCACGCATCTTTCACCACATCAGGTCTCTCGTTTTGTCCGCGCGTCTGCTTTCGACCTACTTCGCGCGGGCCCTTGCCGCGACCGCCAGAATTTGAATTCGTTTTGTCGCATTGGCGCTCTCGAGCGATATCTTCATCCTGGCCATCGTTCTTCGCCGCCCTTTCTCTCTTCCCCACGCTCATCCTCTCGTTCTTCTTCCTAATCGGCAACCTGTCTCCACATACTCTGTTTCTTCCACGCCCTCACTTGGGCGACGCGCGCACGCATGCACGCGCCAGCGCACACGCACACACACGCACGCAAACACATACACGCTCACACCAACGCACGCACGCACGCAAGCACGCACGCACACACAAACACACACACACACACGCACCAGCGCTCACACACACACACACACACACACACACACACACACGCCAGGTCAGCGCAATCCTTGGCCCAGGATCGGTCGTAGGCGAACAAGAACATGCCCGCATCCGCGCCCTCGCCGGCCAGGCCGCTGTGTGTCCACCCCGCGGAAACGGAGCGCCTTCCTTGCGGATGCTCCGCGCGGAACGTATCCGTGCGACCGCGTCTCCACGGGATCGCGCCTCGGAGCGCTCGCCAACCCTTCCCAACCTAACCCGAAGGGCTCACTTTGCCCTCCCTGCTACCCTGTTGAGGTACCTTACCGTTCCACCCTCGATGTGCAGGTAGGGAAGAGCATACTGCAGCGTACTGGCAGCCACGGTGTGTGGGAGGTGGGGTCCTCGTGGATGCTCTCTGGTGGCCTTCGTGTTCATCCTTTTGTTCCCATTCCTTCTCATTCCCCCGTGCAGTAGTGCACCTGTCGGCGCTCCAAAAAAGCACTTCCCAAGACGTTGTCTGCGCGATCCCTCTCTCTCTCTCCCCCTCTCTATCTATATATAGGGTCCTCACGCCGAGATTGCCCCGCTAGCGGTGGTCCCATTGAGTCTGCCCGCCTGCCTAAAGTCGCACTCCGAGATAGCCTTGCTAATGCACCTCCTGGCGTAGTCAGTGGGCTCCAGTGGGCCATCCCACTTGTGGCCGCTGGAGCTGGCCGCTTTTTCGTACTCGGCGTAATTCTTGAACAGATCGGCACCATCCATCAAGGTTTTCGTGCTGTCCCTTAGGTCCTGGCGTTTTTTGAGCCTTTGTTTACTCCTCCGGGTCGAGACATGTCGTTTTTGCCCATTTCCATCAAGACCACCTTCATAACTTTCGTTACTTTCAGCGCCAACTCACACCAGCTCTGCACAGTGATGGCCTTCCTCCAAGCGCTTTCCCACACATCCACTGGGCACCTTGCGATCATATCGCATTCATCGACCTTGTGCGTCATCGGGAAGGCTATTGGGATCAGCTCGAGGAGCTCCTCTGGGCTGATCCTCTGGGCGGCGTCGCAGAACTTGCAATGGTTCTCCTTGATGGCGTCTTCCAGCGTCTGGTTTCCTTCGGAATGCTGAGCGTGGACGGCACCCGAAGACGGGTAAGATGCTTTCCGCGCAGGTGCCGAGTGCGGAGGCGGGCTCCGAGCCTGAAAGGCTCGAGGATGTGCCGAGTGCTTTCGCGACGGATGTAGATGCTCCCAGCATCGAGAGTGGGGGAGTGGTGCTCTCCACTGTGGCCCAGCCTCTGCGCAGCGGCGTGGCGGAGATAGGCTGCCCTGTTTGTTTCTCCGACTTCTCCGGGGGGAGTGGCAGGCGCGAGGCCCGTGGGACTTCCGAGTGCCGCGGCCCCCCGATCGAGGGTCGCCGTCGGCTCTGCCGTCGGCAGTGCCGCGGGCCCTCCTTCGGGGGATGCCGACGGCATGAGGAGCCGGAGTCGTTCCGCTGCTGCGTGCAGCGTGGACGGGATCCGCTGCCACGGGGGGGGGGGGGGGGAGGAGCTCGGAGGGCACCCCAACGCCGCCCCCCCAGGTCCCACTCTTCCGTTTCGGGCGGGGGACGGCGTCTTTTGGCCCCGCCCCTGCGGTGGACGCAGAGGCGACTGCCGTTGCGGTCTTTGGAGGCCCCTCCGCTGCATCGCCGCGCGCGTCGTCTGCCCCCCGAGAGGGCGTGAACGATGCTGGCTTCATCCCGAGCCCTCGCGAAGACGAGGGTTCGGGGTCGGACTAGTGTTGAGGGGCGTGCCGCTCGGCCTACGGGCAGCCTCCTCGTAGGAGGAAGTGGCCCTGTGGTCGTGCAGCTCTCCTCCTAATCTTCTCCAATTCGTACGAGCTATCGGCCCGACTGCTCGTCCGAGGCCTGGCTCCCTGGTTCCATCCTCCTCGCCCTCCTCCTCCTCATCCTCCTCCTTTTCGTCCTCCCCCTCTCCTTTCCGCATGTGAGGGTGCAACTCCGAGTTGGGGCCTGCGTTCATGGGGAGGCGGCAGCACCGCTCAACGATGTGCTGTTTGACCGAACCTTGCAGGGTGAGCCCCTTGTCTCCGCCAGGTTCCCGCGGGCCCCTTCAGGCCCCAATGCTGCCGCGCGCCGCGTCCTTCTTCCTCCTTCACTTGGCATCGCTCGGACGTGTGCATTTTTCCTTCGGCGAGGACCATCGAGGAGCATCCTTGACCACTTGGCGAAAAAACCACGCACGAAACCGAAAAACACACAGGGAATGGACGTCCAAGCGATGGCGAGTTCAGGATCCGACGCCCCGCGAGCTCCGCCCGTGGCCGCCTCGGCTCGATGTGGTCTGCGGTGGGCTGACCGCGCGCCTCTCTCTCCTGGCCTCTGCCCCGCGGCCGCGCCCCCTTTCCGTGCCAATTATCGGGTGCTCGTTCAGGGCATTTTTCACAGGGCCCACCCGACATCTCTTCGACTCGGCTCTGGTTCGGGTATGGTTCGATTCCAGTTCGTCTCTAATTCGACCTCTCGTTCGACCCCAATTTCGGCCCACATTCGATTGAATTCCACGGAGGTTCGACGCAAGAGGAGGAGAGGAGGAGGAGGAGGAGGAGGAGGAGGAGGAGGAGGGTGGGAGGAGGAGGGGGAGGAGGGGAAGGAGGGGGGAGGGAGGAGGAGAGGAGGAGAGGAGTAGGAGGAGAGGAGGAGAGGAGGAGAGGAGGAGGAGGAGGAGGAGGAGGAGGGAGGAGGAGGAGAGGAGGAGAGAGAGAGAGGAGAGGAGGAGGAGGAGGAGGAGGAGGGGAGGAGAGGAGGAGGAGGAGGAGGAGGAGGAGGAGGAGGAGAGAGGAGGAGAGAGGGAGGAGGAGGAGGAGGAGGGAGGAGGAGGAGGAGGAGAGGAGGACGACCCATGAGCGGAGCGAGTGGCACAAGGAAGGCCCCCAGGAAGCGCATTTTTGTTCGCCCCTCCGTGCGCAGTCCGCGCTCCCGCAGCCCAGCCTCAGCTTCGACCGCGCTGGGCGCCCGCCACGGTTGCGACCACGAGCTTCCCTCCCCTTTCTCGTGCGTCGCTGGCGAGGTGTCGCCCCCGGTCCCCGTCCCCCCCCAACCCGCTCACAGGGGGGGGGGGGAAAGCAGCTCGGGGAAGCCATTCTGGACACACCCCATGTTGAGGGAGGAGGAGGAGGAGGAGGAGGAGGAGGACGTCGGGCCCTATCTTTTTGGCCAAGGCTTTGGAAAGCCCCACAGCGTCTGGGATTGAGGTCGCCATATGCTTCTCACCCCGCGCGGCTCAGAGCGTACCAATGGCACGCCGCCGGGGTGCACCCGGCAGCGCGCCACTGCTCGAGAACGAGGCCCGGCCATCAGACAACAACGAAGGAGCAGCACGCTGACGCAGTGCGTCATATAGGAGGGGAAAAGCACACACAGACACAACTGAGCGTCGATCCCCAGGGAAATGTGCGAAACTATGGGAAGTGGGGGGGAAGACAGAAACCCAGAAAATATGGGGAACTGTGGAGAATCTTTTTATTTGTGTGTATCTATTTGTGTGCCCTGGGGCCCCTTTCAGTCATGGGTGCTGTTTCTCCGGAGGGCGCCCAGTATAAGCCTCCACCGATCGTGGCCGGGCCGATCCTGGGCCCAGGTTCGGCGCGCACATGCCCTTCAAGCCAAGCCAGGGGGCGCGCACACCAACTCTGGGCCAAATGTGTGCCTCCTCCTCCTCCTCCTCCTCCTCCTCCTCCTCCTCCCCCTCCTCCTCCTCCTCCTCCTCCTCCTCCTCCTCCTCCTCCTCCTCCTCCCCCTCCTCCTCCCCCTCCTCCTCCTACGCCTTACCAGTACAGCTGGCGCCTTCCAAGTTCTTTGAACCTCCCGGAGTGGTGCGCCTTCTGCTCGCTCCCTTCTGTTGCCCGTCTTGAGGAGTGGGACAACGCAAGCATACATGATCGCCGATTCCCATGAGAGTATGGAACGTGTGGGAAGTGGAGGGAAAGCCGAGCATCCAGAAGGTATGGAACATGTGGGGCATCCTTGGTTTTGTGCTCATCTATGTGTGTGTGTGTGTTTGTGTGTGTGTGTCTCGGGGCCCTTCGTGGGCCCCGGCAACTGCAGGGCCGTTATTCACCACTTCTGGAAAAATGGCAACGGCAGCATGAACGGCAACCGGAAACATAGAAAAGTCTCCTCCCGATAGCTGGAACCGGAACTGGAACCGGCAACAGAGACGGCGACGGGGCCAGAAACAGAACCGCGCCGGAACCAGCAAACAATGTTGCAAAACGAAGCCGGCAAACAACAACGGCCCTGTCGTTTCCAGGGCCCACTGGGCCCGGGCCCCTTCGGTCTCCCCCTCCAGTCGGGAGGATGGGAAGAAGGAGGAGGAGGAGGAGGAGGAGGAGGAGGAGGAGGAGGGAGGAGGAGGACCTCCTCCTCCTCCTCCTCCTCCTCCTCCTCCTCTTCCTGCTCACCTTCCTCCTCCTCCTCCTCCTCCTCCTCCTCCTCCTCCTCCTCCTGCTCATCCGCCTCCTCCCCCTCGCCCGCGGCGCAGGATGGCAGAGAACCCGGCGATCAGCGTCGTCACCTCTCTGGACGCGCGCGCGGCCTCCCCCGGCGGGCCGGCGGCCCCCTCGTCTGCCGGGCACCCCGCCCGGGGGGAGGGGCCCGGCGCGCGAGGCGTGCCGCGTTTTTTCTGTCGGCGGCGAGCGTCGGGCGATTGCAAGCATGGAGAAGGTGGGCCTCTCTCATCTCTCCTTCCTCCTCGTCTCCCCTCCCCCCTGACTGCTCCTAGTGGTTCTCGGGGGCGGACAGGCCTCCTCACACGTCGATGAAGGAATTGGCCGTTTTCGGTTCGCGAGAGGGCGTCGCGGCCGTCATTTCTGCGGGTCCAGGTCCGTCTGTTTCGGTCCCAGGCCGTTTTCACTAAGGTGAGGTCTACTAAAGGGAGGTTTGTCCACCGCCGAGGTTCTCCATCTGCACCATCCTCGCTCCTCTTCCCTGTCCTCTTCCTCCGGATTCTTGTGCTGCGCCTCCGCTTGCGCATCATCCTGATCATATTCCTCATCCTCCCTCGTCGTTTTATCAGGCGATCGCAAACATGGATCAAGGGGGCGTTGTTTAGCGACGGGTCACGTTTCCATGGGACATGGCGGATTTCCTCCACCAAGCGAGGCGGCGCTGGCCGCATTTCGGGGAGGGCGCCTCCCCCAGATCCACGGATTTGGCGACCGCGCGCCAAATCCATGGATCGCTAATCCATGTTTGCCCGCCCCCGAGAGAAGGGCCTCTCAGAAGGCGGCGGGGCTCTTCCGTGACCATTTTGGCTCAAGATCTCAAGCCAAGGCTTGCCCACAGGCAGACGTCGTCTGATAAACTCCCCGGCTCTCAACATCACTGTTGCAGGCAGTCATGCAGCGCTTTTTGCAGGCCTTCTGCTCGCTCAATCTCGCCGTTATCGGCAGGGGTGCCCGGATGCAGCAGGCGATCCAAGGCAATCTGGAGTTCTCCCATGCGAGTGGGCCAGAGGTGCGCACGGGCCTCTTGCGGCTTGCTGCGCAGCCCCAGAAGTGCCTCAACGTCATCGCGGGATGGGCTGGCAACGGGAACGGCATCCAGCTCTGGGATTGCATCGAGGGCAGCCTGGACGAGATGTTCTCCTACACAGTGGGCGGCGTCGGCGAGATTCGCTGGGCCGCACACCCAGAGAAGTGCCTGAACGTGCAGAACGGTGCCGACCACTGGGGCACGCGGATCCAGATCTGGGACTGCATGGACGACCCTTCCTTCAAGTTCGAGGTCGCGCAGGCTGGTGCGGTGCTGCCGATCAAGTGGGCCGGCGGCAGCTGGGACAGCTGCCTGAATGTGAATTCCGAAGGCAAGCTTCAGCTCCACGGTTGCTGGGAGAACAACGCGTTTCTCCCACAAGGCGCCGACGTTCCGCCGGGCCCGCCGCCTGCGACGCCGCGGCCGACGTTCGAGCCGCCACAGCGTGGTGGGCTGGGGCGACCCCTGCCTGCCCTTTCCCCTCACGGTGCTTCCATGGCCTTTGTGCACCTCTTTGAGTGGAAGTGGGACGACGTGGCCAAGGAGTGCGAGGACTTCTTGGGCCCCAAGGGCTTCACTGCGGTGCAGGTCTCGCCGCCGAACGAGCACATGAGTGGCGGCGAGTGGTGGACCAGGTACCAGCCTGTGAGCTACAAGCTCAGCAGCCGCTCTGGTGACGAGGCTGCTTTCACGTCGATGGTGCAGCGCTGCAAAGCAGTCGGGGTAGGCATTTATGCTGACGCAGTGATCAACCACATGGCTAGTGGCAGCGGCATTGGTTCGGCTGGTAGCCACTACGGTAACCGAGACTTCCCTGGTACGTACTCGCCCAGCGATTTCCACCATGATCACGGTAACGCGTACCGAAATTGCGGCGTTCATGATTACAACAACAAGCACGAAGTCCAGTACTGCGATTTGGTGGGGCTACCAGACTTGTGCACAAGTTGCTCGCATGTACAGGACCAAATAGCGAAGTACATCAACCACATGGCTGAACTTGGAGTGGCAGGTTTCCGGGTGGATGCGGCCAAGCATATTGATGCTGGAGAGCTCCGAGGCATCCTCAGCAAAGTGGACGACCGCCTCTATAGATTCCTGGAGGTCATAGGCCATGGCCATGAAGCCGTGACCCCTAACATGTACTACGACATGGGTGCTGTCACAGAGTTCAACTACGCGATCAAGGTGAGCGATATTTTTCGATCGCCTGGGAAGCTGCAATTCCTTGAAGGTTTTGGCGAGGCCTGAGGCTTAAATCCCACACATACCGCTGTGACCTTCATCGACAACCACGACACACAGCGCGGCCATGCTGGGGAGGCGGCTCTCACTCACAAGTCTGGCGGCGCTTACTTCTTGGCCACAATCTTCATGCTTGCGCACCCCTACGGCTACCCGAAGATCATGAGCTCTTACCACTTCGATAACACGGACTTTGGCCCCCCAGCCCAGCCAGTGCACGGCCAGGGCGAGCCCAATTGCGGGCATGGGAAGCCGTGGACCTGTGAGCACCGTTGGCCAGCATTCGCCAACATGGTTGCTTGGCGAAAGTCGGCTGGCCCAGACTGGGTATCGAGCTTCAGCAAGCACGGCGCCGACCGCATCTCGTTTTGCCGTGGCCCCGCTGCTTGCATCGCCATCAACCGCGAAGGCTCGCATTGGGATGTCACGCTCACCGTTTCGGTGCCGTCCGGCGAGTACTGCAACATCATCAAGTCGGACGGCTCTGATTGTGAGCGCGTGCACGTTCAGGACGGCACAGCCCGCGTGAGGGTGGATCCGATGTCCGCCGTAGCCTTCCACACTGGTGCGCGGTTATGATGACGAGGGTCCTGGTTTCTGAAGGCCCTATAGCGAGTACCGTTGAGCACGCCATCTGTCTTGACGGCTTTCCGGTGGAGCCGGCGCGCAGTTGTGGGTTCCAGTGGCTGCGACATGAGCAACTCTATGAAGCATACCAAAGAAAAAAGGCGGCGGGGCTTCTCAGAAGCCCTCCGGCCTGCTCCGAGAAGCTGTTCTGTGCCCTCGGGGGAGGCTCAGACAACGTGACAGAAGGTCGGGGGACGTCCGCGCCCTCTGCGAAGGCTGGATCCTTCCCACTTCCCCTCCAGGGCTTGCCACCGATTCTGGGCGGCTCGGGCGCGAGCTTTGACGGCCCCGTTCCCGTGGGGTGTCTGCCGCGGGACCTCGCGTCAGCCTGCAGACCGGGTCCCGCCTGCGGGCGGCCCCGCCTGGCCCGGGCGAGCTCGCGTCCTCCAGTCTCAAGCCTTACGTCTCCCGATCGTCGCGCGGCACCACGGCTCACGCGACGGAGCCACTGCGTAGTTTCGAAGACCGATTTCTGACCACATCCACTTCTGGATCCTCGATCCTATGATAGGCCCTCGGGGGTGGAAGTGGGTAGTTTTTCCTTTCCCTGGGGCGGGGAAACTGCCCACCTCCACCTCTGGAAACCGCTTTTCGCAAGGCACCTCGGGAAGTGGGTGTGGTCAGAAATCGGTCTCCTATAGTTGCATTACCGGAGTGGTCCGGCTGCCCGAGGCAAGCATCGCCACCTGGCCAGCACAGCAGGACAGGTTTCCCTGACCCTCCCGAGCAGGCCGGGCAGGTTCTGTCTTGGATCTACCTGGGAGCCAACGCATAGATTTTGTGGTATGGCGCGGCCGACACATAGCACGGCTGTGGCGCACGATTTCAGCGCTGTCTTTTTAGGGCGGGTGCTTGAAGAGTTCTGGGAGGTGTATGTGGGGTTTCTTTGGGGCCTTTTCAGAGCCTCATTGGGTTCTGTGGAAGTGCCACGTGGGCGACGCAACAGAAAGGGGTGTCGTCTTCCCCGACGTTGGCGCGGAAGTTGCCCGCGTAAGGTTCCGCGTAAGCGCCCTCGTCTCCAATGTAGCGTGCCGCGCTGGCGGCCCGCGCAAGTCACCGCGTAAGGTCGCTATGCCGTCTCTCGTGAGACCTGTTTGGATAGTCGCTCACGTGTGGGTTTCCGAGGGCCCGTCTGGAGGTCTGGGGGCCATCTTGGGTCACGGCGTTCCGCCCAGATGTCCCGAAGAGGTTCAGTAGGACCATCTGGGAGACATAGCGACGAGGGCCCCCTGGCAGGCCCTCGTCACTACGGCGGATTCGCTTCGACATCCTGGCCAGAATGCACCCACGAGAGGTCCAGGGAGTAGCGCTATCGGTACTTATTGTTTTCTCCAGTATTGAGTCGTTTGGGGCTGGGTGTAATTTGGGTTCTGTGTTGGTTTTCTAGGCCGTCTTGGGGTTATCAGAGCGCGACGCACGCCCGCGCATTGCAAGCGCAGCGGATGATAGTATGATATGGTGTACCACGGCTTCTTCAGCCTGATCAGCACAGGGGGTGTTGGGGCATGAGAAGGAGGAGGAGGAGGAGCAGGAGCAGGAGCAGGAGCAGGAGCAGGAGCAGGAGCAGGAGCATGAGCAGGATGATGGCAAAAGTGAGGAGGACGGTGGGGAGAGGAGGATGAGGAGGAGCATGGAGGGGGGATGAAAACCCGCGGCACGAGGAGGCTTCACATGAAAAGACGATCCAGGAGGAGGAGTTTGAGGGACGAGCGGCAGGGCGGATGAAGCGCATGTGGAGGGCAGTGGGCGGAGGCGGAGGGGCCGAGGCCAGACGGGGCCCGACAGCACGCCGAACATGCGACGGCATCGCGGGCGGAGAAGGGTCCGGCACGAGCCACCCGCGTGGCCGTGCCTCGAAGAAGAAAAATCGCCATGGACATGAACTCGGGGCGCTCCGTGCGGACTTTTTGGCTCCGCGCCTGGGGTCCCCTGGCGGTGCCTCCGGCGCCGCCCCTGGTGCGCCAGGGAGGGGGGGTCTGGCGCGGATCCAAGAAGGCCGCGCGGAGCGCCAGAAAGTTTGTGTTTATGGCGTTCTTCTTCTTCTTCTAGAACATACGACGGGGTGGCGGGCGGAGAGGGGCCCGGCACGGGCCGCCCGCGCGGCCGTGCCAGGAGAACTCCATGGGCCTCGCCCCGAACAACTCGCTCGTGACCCAGGTCGCCCAGCAGGGCATGGAGGCCGCTGCGGGACCCCGCGGCCGGCGTCGTGCTCGCCCGCGCGGGCCCCGTCGCCCCCCCGCTCGCGTACCCCTTGTCTTAATTGGTGGTCTCCAAACCAGGTGGTGAGACACCCCGTGGCGACCCCGATTCCCCCCCCTAAAAAAATCTGGGTCACCACCGGGTTTGGGGACACGCGGTCGCCACGAGGTCTTGCGCTTCCTGGGCCAGCCAGCGCTCGAAAACCATTACCCAGATCGCCCAAAACTCACCACCGGGTGTTCTCACCACCACGTTTGGGGACCACCAACTTAAGTTGGGCCTGTCCCTGTACAGGAGGAATATTCAGACAAAGGCAAAACATGCTCTGGGGACGATTCTTCGATTTCTTTTGATCACTTTTGGGGTATATTTTAGTTTTGAAGTTTTTCCGCCCAGAATCTTCTGCGGGCGGACAGGCCCGACTTAACCCTTGTCCTCCTCCTCCGCCCCCTCTTCAAGAACAGATTGCATAAGCATGCACTTTCGGAGGTCCTCGCGCATGAATTCGATCGGCCCCGGGGCTCCCCCTGGCTGCGCCTCCGGCACTGCCCCCGGCGCGCTCGGCGTGCCAGGGAGAGGGGTCCAGCTGATCCCCGGGCGCGCTCGGCTCCAGCTGATCCCAGAGCTCGGCTCGGAACTCTGGAAGTGCATGCTTATCCAGTTTTGTCTTATGCTGTGTTCGCCAGCGTTGATCCCATATTGTGTGTTCTGACATTATATGTGGTGCAGTGTATGTGGGGCAGTATGCGTGGTGCTTCGCATGCGAGACATCGATATCAAGGAACCGATTGATCCGAGAAAGCAGGGAAGAACGAGGAACCTGCAGAAGGCAGGAACAAACATATCCAAGCAACGCAACGTAACGAACTGACGTAACGAACTGCAGCGCAAAACCATGCTGAGAAATTCAACGCAAAGCAGTGCAATGTAAACCAGTGCAGAGCAAAGCAATGCAAAACAATGCAACCCGACGCAATGCAAAGCGATGCCAGACAATATCAGGCAGAGTTTTGCAACGTTAAGCAACGCAAAACAACAGGAACACAATGCAATGCCATGTGGAGCAATGATCAGCAATGCAACGCATTGCAAAGTAATGCACATCAATACCACCAGCGCTACGCGACGCGATGCAAGGCAACGCACAGCATGGCCAGCGCTGATCCAAGAACTCGTCGCAGAACTCCGGAAGTGTATGTTGATACAGTTGTTATCGTTCTGCGCTGTTCCGCTTCTTCCACTTGCTCCCTGCTCCGCCTCCGCCTTGCGCCGTCCTCCCGGGTCCCCGTCTGAAGGGGCGAGAAGGATGGACGAGCGGGAGGAAAAGGGGAGAGGTGGGGCGGACGAGCACGGGTCGAGGAGAGGTGGATGCTTGGAACAAGGAGGATGAGAGTCGAGATTGATGACCAGATCAAATCCGTAGGGTCCATTGGCCCAGAATTCCCCCCCCCGCGACGGAGTCATGCGAACTGTTGCTCAATGCCATCCAAAGCAGCTCTGCTTTCCGGCTGCGTGGTGGAGCAGAGGGAGGTCGAGGAGGAGGAGGAGCGGGAGGTCGTGGAAGGAGGAGGGGGGAGCAGCGAGACAGCATCCCCACCCAGCGGGCTCGGGGGCTCTGGCAGGCGGTCAGGATGAAGCTGGCCGAGGTCACCTCGGCGAGCGCGAAGAAGGCCCCTCCCTCCCTCCCCCGCATCGCCACGCACGCATGCGCAGACCGACAGACAGGCTGGCAGACACACGCACACACAGACACAGACAGACAGAAAAAGGCAGAGACAGCCAGAATGAGAGAGAGAGAGAGACAGAGACAGAGAGAGGGATACACATACACACCCAGGGACAGAGGACGGGCGGGCAGGCAGGGACGGAACGTCCAGGTGACTGACAATAAGGGACACACATGCAGTTCAAGGGATGAATGTGCATCCGTGCATACACGCACGGCTGCACACAGACGTCTACATTTACATCCACGCAGTAGTATTCGACCAAATCCTCCACCGCCCCTGGGTGCATGCATGTGACTCTGTCCACGCTTCTATGCTTGTCGGATCTGCCATGGCTCTTGTGTTGACCTGCCAGTCGGACAGTTTTGCCCTGTTGGGATGCCGTGCTGGTTTGCCGTCCTCAGGCGTGTTGGTCTGCCGTGCTACCTACGATGATTTAAGAGGGACGTCATGCATGTGGACCGCATACTTCTCGCCTTGGGCGCGATCTTCGCACTGTCAGGCCGCAGCAGCTGGCTACGCCAATGCTGCCAATGACGAGTATTCTGCACGCTTCGCATATCCCCACGCTTTCGTTGCATGGACGGTGCGGCCACACCTGGCCACCTCGTGCCGCCACAGTGCGGCGTGCTCCACGCCCTTTCGCGCTGTACGGTACGGTCGGAGCTTGGCGCCACGTGTGCGACAGCTCCTTTCCGTCCGCTTCCAGTTCTGTGCTTGCGTTCACCTCTGTCGGGCCGCCAGCGTCAGCCCCCAATGAGGGTCATTTTGGCCCTGGCATGTGCACTCGCTACAGCGGCCGATGCGCCTCTGCAGCTAATTATCTCGCTCTGTGCCCCACTCGTGTCCGTCCCGCTTCCTGGATCTGTCCTTGGAGCCGCCAATCAAAATTCTATCCCTACGCTTCGTTGTCCTCCACGGCTTCGGCGTCATCGGCTTGTCCTTTAGCGTCTTTCTCGCCCCCTGAGCCGCAGCGTAGTTCGCTCCTGCGTGCCCAGTGCCTAATTTAGTGCTTGGCGCGGCTGCCTTCTTACTTTCGGCACGCGGTCGTACCGTTAGCGCTCGCCACCAAAAACAAATGATCCCGGCAAAGCAACCGAACCGCGATGTGTAGGAGCATATTTGGAAGCATTCCCCTTAAGATTCAACTGAGAACCCAGTTGTAGAATTCTGCTGTTCTCGCAGTCGTAGTCGCATTCGCGATGGCAGTCGCAGCGGCAACGGCAGTCGCAGTCACAGCCTCAGCCTCAGCCTGCCTCAGCCTCAGCATCAGCCTGCCTCAGCCTCAGCCTGCCTCAGCCTCAGCATCAGCCTGCTCCAGCCTCAGCGTCAGCCTGCCTTCAGCCTCAGCCTCAGCCTCAGCCTGCCTCAGCATCAGCCTGCATCAGCCTCAGCCTCAGCCTCAGCCTGCCTCAGCATCAGCCTGCCTCGGCCTCAGCCTCAGCCTGCCTCTGCCTCAGCCTCAGCCTGCTTCAGCCTCAGCCTCGGTCTGCCGTCGGCCTCGGCGTCGGCTTCCGCCTGCCTCAGCCTCCGCCTGCATGAGCCTCAGCATCAGCCTCAGCCTGCCTCAGCATCAGCCCGCCTCAGCCTCAGCATCAGCCAGCCTCAGCCTCAGCCTCAGCCTGCTTCAGCCTCAGCCTCAGTCTGCCTGCAGCCTCGGCCTGAGCTTCAACCTGCCTCAGCCTGAGCCTTCCTTTGCCTCTGCCTCAGCCTGCCTGCCTCAGCCTCAGCCTCAGCCATAGCTTGCTTCAGCCTCAGCCTCAGCGTCCTTCAGCCTCAGCCTCAATATGTTTTCAGCTCGCCTCAGTCTCAGCCTGCCTCAGCCTCAGCCTGCATCAGCCTCAGCCTCAGCCTCAGCCTGCCTCAGCCTCAGCTTCAGCCTGCCTCAGCCTCAACCTCAGCCTGCTTCAGCCTCAGCATCAGCCTGCCTGCAGCCTCGGCTTCAGCCTCCGCCTGCCTCAGCCTCAGCCTGCATGAGCCTCAACCTCGGCCTCAGCCTGTCTCACCATCAGCCTGCCTCAGCCTCCGTATCAGCCTGCCTCAGCTTCAGCCTCAGCCTGCTTCAGCCTCAGCCTCAGTATGCCTTCAGCCTCGGCCTCAGCCCCAGGCTGCCTCAGCCTCCGCCTGCATCAGCCTCAGCCTCAGCGTCAGCCTGCCTCAGCACCAGCCTGCCCCAGCCTCAGCCTCAGCCTGCCTTTGCCTCAGCCTCAGCCTATTTCAACCACAGCCTCAATCCGCCTTCAGCCCCACCCTCAGTCTGCCTCAACCTCAGCCTGCATCACCCAGCCGATCGGTCAGGGGGGGGGGGGGGGGATTTGCCTGCTCCCCGTGGAGCCATCAAAATCGGCACTTCGGCGCTTTCAGGCCGATATTGTGCGCTCTTGGGGCCGCTTGGGGTCCTCTTGAGCCCATCGTGATCGTTTTCCAAACTTAATTGATCGCGTCTCGGGGTGGTGTGGTGGGGTGGGCCGTGTAAGATAGTAGTGCAGGTTATATCCCCCGTCCTGCCCTGCTTGTCTTTCGTGTCCGCTCAAGTTTTTTCTGGCTCGAGATCGTTCGAGCCAGGAGCGCGCGCTCGCCCTTCTGCCCCGCCAGCGTGGGTGCTCGCGGCGCGGGCGCTGATCGTCGGCACCACGGCGAGGCGGTGGTGGCTCGCCAGTGCTGCCTTGCTCTCGTACATCGGGGACTGGGGGGCCCTCGACTCTGTCCTTTCGAAGCCGCTCGTGGAGCCCGAGGACGACGCGTCCCTGAGGTACACGAGAGAGTCCGAGCGGCTCAGCTTCTACGACTATATACGGTTGCATATGTCCAGCGTGACGCGATGGAGCCGCTTCTATCGGACGACTGGCCCTCAGCGGGGGCAGGTGGTCCTCCTGGCGATGCGGATGTACCCCAAGAAGAAGAACGACACGAGGTGGATCTACGTGAAGCCGGACCGCGCGCTCGGCGTGGGCGACATCAAGGATCGGGCGAAGATGTCAAGTCGTCGACAGCCAGGCTGGGACTACGAGGCGTTCCCGACCCTCACGGCCCCCGAGAAGGCGGACATCCTGGAGAAGGCCAAGGAGAAGCAGCTCGGGGCCGAGCTGTATCTGTCCAACATCCGCGGCTACGTTGCCTCGCTGTCCTGGTGTCGCTCTGGTCTGGGTGGCGTATGGAGCACATGGAACTGGGGGTCGACGGCGGGCGCCGCCTTCTTTTTCTGGAGGGTGGCGGTCTACTGCAACCTGTGGCAGTGGATGCGCTGGTCCGTGGAGAAGCTCGAGGACGGCCACAACATGATACTCGAGATCGACGATTTCCGAGGATATCTGCACGACCTCTACCAGGACGGCAAGCTCGAGATTCCCATCATGATCTTCACCGCGGTGGTGGCTCTTGGGCCAAGCCTCCTGCGATGCTGCAGGCAGCGCCCCTCCCCTCTGCTCGCGGGGGCCTCGCCTCCAGTGAGCGACGTGGACAGCGACGGGGAGGCGGGCCACTCGGTGGCGGGGTCGTCGGACGAGTCCGAGCCCGCCACCGATGAAGGCCATGATGTGCAACCTGCTCGACGAGATCACCAAATCAAGGTCGGAGTCGCCACGTGCCCCCACGAGTCGGAGTGCCTCATCGGCCGCGCCCCCTGGAGAGAGCAGTCACGCCAGCTGGGAGAGAGTCCCCAGTGTCAACACGGACTCCAGCATGGACATGCATGTAGACAGGATGATCGACCGGCTGAAGCGTTTCGAGGACACGATCAATGCGGACAAGGCCTCTCCGGGATGCAAGCCCTTGCAGGACGCCTCATCCACGTCGGCCACGGCGGGAGCTGCGACGTGCCCCACCATCGACCTGGGGACGAAGGAGACGCTGGAGGGCGCGGGGGTGAGCCTCGAGCCCTTGCGGGAAGCACTCCGGGACCCGAGGGGGAGGTTGCTGGCCAACCTCTCGAAGATCGATGCGCCGCCCACCTTCGCCCTCCCAGCGGGCCTCACCTCCCGCGTGGCCCCCGAGCTGTTGGTCCAGACCTGCGGGAAGTACGGCAGCATGGCGAAGTTCGCGACGGACTGGGTTCGCTTCAAGGAGCTGAATCGCAACCACATCGGCCACGAGATGATGCTGCACTGCATGACGCTGGACCGGATGCTGGAGGCCTCGCCCGAGTTCATCCAGACGGCGGGCTGCGAGATCCTATGCGCACGAGTTTATGCTCTGAAGCGGGCGTTCAAGGACGTGGCATGCATCAACGACTGGAAGCAGCCCCGGGGCAGCGGGGCCAACAAGTGGAAGTCCAAGGTGCGCTGGGACCTCGCGAACGAGCTGGACTGGAGATCTCTCACGGGGGGCGAGGAGGCGCTCCCAGGCGTGGAGCGCGACTTGACGGCCAGGCTGCAGCAGAAGGCTCTCTTCCAGAAGTATCTGCAGAAGGGGGGCTCGGACGCAGTAAAGGAGGAGGACGAGTAGACGTTGGAGAAACTCTTCCTGTCTGTGGTGCCTCGCGGGGCTCCCCGCGCTTGAGGGAGGGGCTGGCGGTTTACCGTTCCGTTCGCCCTGACGACGGCCACTCTGGTGGGCTTACTCTCCCGATAGCTGCGGTGACGCTCCTGCTTGTCGCGGCGATCTTTTCGCGTGGCCCTGCGCCCCTCGGGAGGCGACACCATGCCCGCTTTTCTCCATCCACGCACTTCTCCATCGTCTACCTCGACGGCGGCCACAGGCGCGCCTCCCGAAGCCGTTCCTCGAGACCGAGACCTTCTGCCGGATTTGCCGCTACTACCGTGGTCGGTGGTGGTGGACCGCGCGGGGCCGATGCATCATGGCACGCTGAGACATGTGCGAGCTCTGGCCAACGGGCTGATCCGATCCATGCACCACCTCGCGCGGGGCACGGTCGGAGCGGCCGAGGGCGCTGGGCCGTCGGCTGCGTGGGAGCGGGCAACGCCGCTCCAGAGGGCTACTTCGAGGAGGTTGCTGGAGGCGTGGCTAGCTTGGGGCAGCCAGGTGGCCGCGATCAAGGAAGACGAGGACGCCGCCCTTCGGCGCGCCATGGCCGGTCGGGCCTCGCCATACCCAGGCGATGGGGCTACGGTTGCCCTGGGAAAGGATTCAAAGGGAAGGGGGATGCTACCAAAGGGCGCGATGTGCTCCGTCGACGTGGAGGAACTGGCTGTTCCGCCGCCAGGGACCATCCCTGCCAAGCTCGTGGACATCTGCCCGCTGGCTGCCGAGTACTTCTCCGACGTTGCGGGGGGGGTGCTACGCGAGCCCAGCAAGGCCATGGGCGAGGAGCTGAAGGGCCAGAAGGTCTACCGAGATCCGTCTCTCCGCTCGAGGGCGTCGCGTCTCCGCCTAGCCGAGAGGCTTTGGGATGCGGGGATGCTCGGGACCACCGGCGAGATGGTCCAGGGGGTCTCGCTCTTCGGAGTCATCAAGAAGTACCTGCAGGAGGAGGGGGGGCCCCTCAGCCCCGCCAGGCGCCAGGTGCGCGCCATCTGGGACCAGAGGCGGGCCAACCTCCGCTGGCAGAGGCCCCCGTGCGTGCCCCTCGGCAGCCCCGCGACCTTCGCCCACGTGGACCTCTCCAACCTGGGCGAGAGGGACGTGGTCTACACTGGCGTGGGCGACATCCCAGACATGTTCTATCGTTTGGAGACGCCGCCCGATGTCTGGCCCTACTTTGTCTTGGAGGAGGTGCCAGTCCACGAGTTCGTCGAGTACATGAGGACCAAATGGCGGGACTGCGTCACCCTCGATGGCGGGCCCTTCCTGGCGCTGAAGGTCCTGGTCATGGGCTGGTCGTGGGCCCCGTTCTTGGCCCACTACGTTGCAGGCCTGCATGGCGCGCGGGCTCGGGGAGGACTCCGTCGGGGCTCGCCTGATCTACGGGGCTCCGACGCCTCAACTGACCGGGCCCGAGGGGTTCGAGTCGGTGAACTGGGCATACATGGACGACTACGGAGTCATGGCCACGTCCGCCAGCGCGCAGCAGCCAGTGAGCGAGGTCGTGAGCGGACTGACGGCCCGAGTCAAGCATTACTTGAGGCAGGTCGGGCTTCCCGTCCACAAGGAGTCCGAGGGCGAGGGGCTCGAGTCGCTGGGGGCGGTCATCCGAGGCCGACCCTACACTGTCTCAGCAGAGACCGACCGCACCTGCGGCCTGGCTCTGGTGACGCTGCGGCTGGTAGAGCGGACGTACTGGACCGCGGAGCTCCTCGAGCGCGTCGTGGGGTTGTGGGCGTGGGCGGCCATCTTCCAGCTCACGGGCCTTGCCATCTTCGACCAGGTGTACCACGAGATGAGACGCCCCGAGACCGCCAAGACGCCGTTCCGACTGACGGACGCGGCGAGGTGGGAGCTGACTACGATGGCGTACTGCGCACCCCTCGTACGTACATATCTCGAAGCTCCGTGGTTCTCGCAGGTGTTCATGACGGACTCCAGCGACACGGGCTACGGAGTGGCGGTCACCGACGCCTCGCTGGAGGAGATCAGGAAGGACGCCCGTTACAGCGAGATGAGGGGATGGACGATCGCCACCGAGGATATCTACACAGCCCAGGAGGAGGACGCCTGGGTCCCCCATGCTGGGGGGTGTGCCTACGATGTCGACGAGCTTATCGAGGCCTCGACTGCACCGCCGCCGCGGGTAAGTCGGAGGGTCTACCGGGCGCTGTACCTCTTCGCGGGCAGGCGCCGGGAGGGGGATCTAGAGGAGGCCATCCACTCGCGGGCGGAGCTCGACGGCTACGAGGTCGAGGTCTGGTCCATCGACGCGGTGATCAACCCGAAGCACGACCTCACCAACAACGAGTTCGTCAGCCTGATCCTGAGCCTGGCGCGCGACGGGTACTTCCACGCAGTGATCGCCTCGCCCCCATGCTCCACTTGGAGTCGGGCTCGCTTCCTGGGGAAGAGGCCCAGGCCCTTGCGGACGCGCCTCGAGCCTTGGGGGCGGAGCGACATGTCATTCACAGCCTTCGAGCGCCTCCGCCTGGACCTGGGGTCGCGCCTTTTGCTGTCGGCCATGCAGGCGGTCCGCGAGGTATGTCGAGCTGGAGGCCTGGGCTTGATGGAGCACCCTGCGGACCCAGAGGAGGACCCATGCCCGTCAATCTGGAACCTACCCGAGATGGCATGCCTCCTCGAGGAGACGGGCGGGAAGATCAATCGGATCGACCAGTGCCGCTACGGAGCCCCATCGATGAAGCCGACCATGATTGGCATTTTCGGGTTCTACGACGACACACTGGACTTCGCCGCGGACCGTCTCCGCCTGAGGTGCAACCACCGAGGGAGGCATCAGACAGTACTCAAGGGACGGGCGGAGCGAGGCCGTCCCGATTTCTGCACCGCCTCCGCCCAGGCGCACCAGCCGCCGCTGTGCGCCGCGCTGGCGGAGGTGATCATCGAGGCTTTCGCCCGCATGACGAGGGGGATGAGTGGCCCCGATCCAACGGGCTCGCGCGTGTCTCCATCTACTTCGCCCTTCGGCCCGCCGAGGCCGGGGAGGGCGAGGATCGAGGTGGGGCGGGGCGATCGAGTCAGAGTCCCCCCGCTGTCCCCCGCTTGGATGCCAATCGCGAGATGGCGGCCACTCTATTTCGGGAGGTGGAGGATCACGGAGCACACGAACATCAACGAGGCGCGGGCCGTGGTGGGCCTGCTGCGACCCCTGGCCAGATCATCGCGGATGTGGAGGCGGAGATCTTGATCCTTACAGACAGTATGGTAGCTCTGGGGGCCCTGGGCAAGGGCCGCTCGAGCTCACCAGCCCTGCTGCGCTTGTGCCGCCAGGCGGCGGCGATCACCGTGAGCTTCGCGATTCAAGGGTGCTACCGCTACGTCCCGTCGGAGCTGAACGTCGCCGACGGCCTCTCTCGGGGGGGCTTCCTCGGCTCGGCGCCCGAGACGGTGGCAGCTCACAGCGACCGACACCCCGCTCCAACGGACAGCCGAGGTCACGATCTACGCGACCTGGGCCGCGCCTGTACGGGATGCGCTGGTGAGTAGCCGCCATGGCATTGGAGGCAGTCCACCCTGCTGGTGCGGTTCGCCCGAAGCCACCCAGGGCGGGAGACATCCCCCTGCAGAAGCGAGGGCCACGTGCGTGGGAGAACTACGAGAAGGAGCCGCACCTGGGCATCAGCGAGGGCGGCTTCACAAGGCTGCTCACCCACTCCGTGGCGGACGTCGCCGCGGCGCAGTGGGCCCCGAAGATTCGAGACTTTCTC